CAGCAAAGACAGGGGACACTAGGAAGGCCTTTTCTGCCTTGTTAGGCGTCAGTATATTTTTTTCGCGTGAATGAGCTATAGGAACTGGACGCTTTTTACCAGCATGGTCATAATAAACACAGACGTTAGCATTCCATAGCTGTTCGTTTATTTTAAAAGGTGGGGAACGTTGTATCTTTGGAAAAGTCGAATATTTGAATATATAAAAAACATTATTCCTCAACAGGAGATAATTTAACACTTCAAATCAGAACTAGAAAAACATAGAACTGAAAGGAACTAACAGCTGAATGAGTTTGTCAACTGAAGCACTTTCAATCTAAAAGGATGCTAATATTCGAGCAGGGGTAGTTTGCATTGCAAGGCAGAAATTTATGTTTCCGTTATGTAACTGAGCTATGGATCTGGAATGTGTTCAGGCTGCAGTATTTTGAGTAGCAAGTAAGGGTCAAACGATGTTATCGATGTTACCGGTCCCTGATATGCAACCCTACTATCTGAACGGAATGGCACTCCAAGAAGTAGATATGCAGCAAGATTTAGTCAGTTGAATGATGAGAAGCATAAAGCTTTCTAAAAAATGTTTTAAGTCAGCTCAAGCTGCAATTTCAATGTTGTATGCCATTAAGCGGGTCACATCTTAAATACGCAGTCCAAGCCTGGAGATCGTGGGCGCAGTAGGATTACAACCTACTTTAATGGGTTCAAGGGCCGGCCGCAAAACAAGTGCAAGGCCAAGGAGCATGGCATATGATATCCGCCTAAATAATCTTTATCTTTCTCCCTTGAGTTGTAGGCAGTTACTCGGACAAACTCACTCTATCATGAGTGGCCTGGACTGCGCCATCCTATGTTATGACTTTTTTCAACTCGCCACCACAGCTAGTCTCTGAGACCATCCCTTTAAAGTGCGTGTGCCCTAAGGAGATCGTATGTGAGTAGGTATTTTTTTTTCTAAGCGGACCGTGAAACCGTGGAATCACTTACCCGAGACGATTGTTATGTCCCAATTTGTCGAAGCATTCAAATACGGACTTGACCTCTCATGGTGCAACACAACGAAGACTATGTGACTAATCAACCTTAAAGCACCAGCGAACAATCTGACTCTATCTGCATCCACCGACTGTACTTTCCTTCCATTGTTTCTATTTCTTGAGATTCTTATGTGAAAACAGGGAGTTCAAAGGCTTAAGCCCGTTCTCCAGGCTATGGACACTCCAATAGCCATTTCTGATATATTTTCTAGTATCAATCAGTCGTCCAAAACTGCTAAACTTAAGTTGGATCCAGAGTCAACTGATTACACAACGGCGCTCCGGATAGTACTGCCTAATTGAGGCAAAAATGTTTTCCTCGCATTTGCCCACAGAATCCTCTGTACTAACTATTCACGATAAAACCAGCTCCGGTGCATTGTAGGTCTTGGGTTCGTAGTACAGGTAAGACATAATTTCCCTGGCCAGTGCAACCTAAAGTTTGCTTTATCTGTGCAAGTATTAAGAAAATCGTGTTCGGCGTTAGTATCTCACGGAGGTTATTTTCGTTTAAAATGCGTGTCTTACAAATGATAGTTAAAAAAAGTTAAAACGGTT